GCCGTCCAGCTTGAGGAAGTTCGATTCGCTGACTGAGCTGGGTTGTGAGAGAGTTGGACGAAGAGGAATTACTCAGAAGGCACAAAACATCACAGATAAAACAGAAAAAAAAGTTCACGCTAACTAATCAGGCGAAGCCGTAAAAGAGAAATTTCCATTAAATCTAAGACCGAAAGCTGCAGACATGGTAAGGCCTTGGAATTAAAAACAACTAAAGAAACGGGTAGGGTAAGCTGTGTAGGCTAGTTTAAGGTGGGGTGCAAGGAAGATTAGTATACCCTGTGGGAAGTCTTCTAGGTGCGTGGCAACACAGGATAGTCGTTTTATTTGCTGATCGGTCGGCCAGCATTTTTTGCAGTACGTTCAACAAGAAGTAATGCAGTGTTTTATGTGATTGATATACTTGGTGAATAACTCGGAATGTGGCAGTGTCAGGAATTCCCGAGCTGCAGGGGACTCGGAGGGGTCGCCGACTTAACGCTATACTAGCCCTGCACTTGACTTCCCTACCTGCCAGTCTGTGCCATAAGTTGCAGGACGTGTACGAGACTCAAGTTGTTCGGTGCAGGAACACAGCAATCAATGTATTCTCCTTTTCTCTTGTTCGATTCTTAACGTACGATGTGGTTGTTTTTGCTGTGCGGTCGAATTTTTTTAAATAGTCTCACATTTTCTTCATTAAGCTGCTATAAAATAAGTTTATACACCTCGCTGATTGGAGGAACCGCATTCCGATCACTTCTCTCGGACTCTTATCTCGCTTTACCTCGGATGGGATTACAGTGTAGTATTTATTCGAAGCAATCCCTTCGATTTTTGTCGTGCAAGTACATAAGACTAAAATTCAAGCCATAAGGCTAATGTTTTATAAAACGACTACTACGTTTGACTAATGATGACTTGAATGCGTTAACTACATTGTTTTAGTGTGCATTAGTTTTTCTTTGTATTGATGAAAATCAGTCCCTTTAGAAACATCGTTACAGACATAAAATAATAATCAGCCCTTGGGGAATGACATTGTGCTATATGATTGGATCAGTAACCACTCCCTTATTCTCAAGACTGTATATTTAAGTATTTGTATGATAGTTCGGAAGAACATGGTCCCATTCTCTCTTCTTGATGAATGAGCTATATTACAGGAATACCTTTTTAAAGGTGCTGGGTCCTTGTCTTTACAGGCTGCTGACTGATATTGAATCTGCATTCCAGACATGCGTTCTGTAACTTCCTTCAAGTCTTTTAACACTTTGTTTAACCTGTGCCATGTGATCTGCAATTATGTTTGTAAAGTGTATTTATTTAAAAATCTAAGGATTGAGTGATCCACTTTTCATAGATCCACAAAGACTAACTTTTCAATCTTTGCCATTTTAAATTCCACTGTTTTCGTATCATTTATTTCTGTGACTTTTTTGACTTAAATAATTGCTTTGTCATTGGCTAAATTTTAATGGATGTACTTCACAGTGAATGCAGGCACAGTCTGAGTGCTGGTGAGTGATGGTTCTTGCTGTCATTTGCTTTGCTTTCAAACTTGCATTTTCAGTCTGTTTGTTGGGCTTTGCAGAATGAACAGCAGCTGGACTGTGCCCTTGATCTGATGAGGCGTCTGCCACCCCAGCAGATTGAAAAGAACCTCAGTGATCTCATCGACCTAGTGAGTGCAAAACTCTGCAGAGCAGTCGGAAAGACAGACATGTCTAGGTTACTGACATAACACTTTCAAAATGTTGAGAAAATCTTAGGCGTATACACCATTGTATATGTTTGTGTGTTTGTGACAGTTTCTTAGAATTGCACACATAGTAGTTTGCACACTTCTCTTTTAACATTACATTTCCACTTCCTTGGCACACACAGCTGTAATATACATGATTTGCTTGCTGTGACCTCTGAGGTTTCATGCATTTTATCTTCATATTTCAGTGGTTGATTGGAGAAACTAAATGAGCTTTCCTCAAATAACAGTGGCTTTTGCATTTTGTTAGTTCATACTAGAATAAAGCTTGAGGAACTTCAACCGTGTGTAGTAACTGTGCACTTCCTATATGCGTAGGTTCCCAGTCTTTGTGAAGACCTGCTGTCCTCTGTGGACCAGCCACTGAAGATTGCCCGTGACAAAGCTGTGGGCAAGGACTACCTGCTGTGTGACTATAACCGTGATGGTGACTCCTATAGGTCAGTTAGGGAATAATGATTTGATCACAAATTTTTCTCTCTTTTTGGCGGGTGGAGTGACTGATATACAGGCAGTCCCTGGGTTAAGCTCGTACTTATGAACGGACTGCCACAAAGCATATTATATAAAAAAATTGGGTTAAATAAAATGGTACTTAACGCACTGCTTTGTAATATTTGTAAAAACATTGCATGGCCTCAGTGGTTTGCTTGAGTTATGTACAGTTCAGCTTGTAGTTAATTATATATTAATAATAAAAGTATTTTTATTGTGTCCTATATTATTATTTAGACAGACTTAGGGAATGGAGCTCGTGCGTAACCTGGAGACTGCTTGTAAATAACAGAAGTACCAGAACAAAATAAAGGTGTAATGAATAGTCCTCCAGGCACGTTCTGCCTGAGTAATTTGTCATTGTCTGTTTGCATGTTGCCTAAGGTCACCGTGGAGTAACAAGTATGAGCCGCCCATAGATGATGGTGCTATGCCTTCTGCCCGCCTCCGCAAGCTGGAAGTGGAGGCTAATAATGCATTTGACCAGTACAGAGATCTGTGAGTGTTCTGCTCTGCAGTGCTAATTGTACTATGTACACTACTGTTCACAGCCTGCAGGGTTTACTATAACCCTGTACTGTATAAGCAGTTACCTTAGGGTCAGAACAGTAGCTTGTATTTATGATTCATAAGCAAAGAAGAATTCCCTGCAGGAGTTTAATAACTCATGTGCTATCTGCTAGTCGTACTCTATACCGGCCTTTCCCACCCTGGTCCTTGGGGACCCCCAGTCCACATTTTTGTTCCCTACTGGGAGCTGGGAGGCAGCAAAAACGTGGACTGTCTGAGCATCCCCTAGGACCGGGTTGGGAAACGCTGCTCTACACTATCCCACCATTAGTACAAATGAGCTGGGCAAATACACGCCTCACCTGAACAGCATCTCTGTAGAGGTGTGTGTGGTCAAGCCTGATGACACATAACCAGTGATTTGGTGAGTATGTGGTCTTTCCCAATCACCGTACTGTATTGGGTAGGTACTTTGAAGGAGGGGTGTCGTCAGTGTACCTGTGGGACTTGGATCATGGCTTTGCGGGGGTCATCCTCATCAAGAAGGCGGGGGATGGCTCTAAGAAGATCAAGGGCTGCTGGGACTCCATCCATGTGGTCGAAGTGCAGGTGAGAGACACAATAAACGGGCCGATGGAGAGGGGTCACCCCGGACAACCCTGAAAGGTGCTTCACGCCTCATCTTTGTCATATGCAGGAGAAATCCAGTGGACGTACAGCTCACTACAAACTGACCTCCACTGTCATGCTCTGGCTACAAACCACCAAGACAGGATCCGGCACCATGAACCTTGGGGGCAGCCTGACTCGACAGGTGATGTAACTGTAGGCAGCCACTTTAGCAAAAGAAATATGGTTAGAGATAAACAGCCTGTGTGAAATAAAGTGTCTTCGCTAGTGTGATGGGATGAGATGTCGTCAAGGTCTGCATTGCGATAGACCAGGGTACTTTGCTAGCTTATGTGCTAAGTTAGTTTTTTAGAACATAAATTTTAGTAGCAAGCGTGCAAAATTGTAGCACTCGTAACGAATTTCAGTAAAACACTATTTCATGAGGTCCAAGAAACATGCTGAGACTTGCTCCATTAACAAAGTGTTATCAAGTTCATAAGTCAGTTGATAATCCAGTTTTATAAAATTATTCAAAATAGGGCACTAATTAGCCAGCTAATTTGAAGACAAAAATAAACACAAAGGGACCCTGCTCTGATATACACATGCTCACAGACCCTGTGTACGAGTAGACATGGGCGCACACCAGAACATGTGAACGGTGTGGAGCGGAGCGTGAGCGAGGAGCGGAGCGGAGCGGGCGAAATTTGGTCAGAGTGCGGAGCGGTTTTTTAATTAAGGCTGGAGCGGTCTCTCTGTCTCGCACCAATTTCGCTCCGATACCGCTCACACTACAACTCAGGCGTGCCCAAAATCTAACCAGAATTCATCTACACAATTATCAAGATTTAGATCCGCTTTGGAATCTAAAAAGATGTTTCTCGGAAACATGAGTGTGCTAATCGAACACGCGGAGGCCAGAGCAAAACGTGAGCAAGTTTTATATGGTTGTAGCATATCAAGTCTATAAAGTAAATAAAAGTATAAAAGCCTTTAATTTGGTAATCAAATAAATTAGCTTGTCATTCAAATTAGTTCTAATAGGATTTTTTTAATTCACGTAACGCTGTCAGTGAAATTTTATAGAGAGAGACGCAGCATCAACAGAAAATAACCGAGGAATTTAAAACGTGGATGCGCTTAGCCTGTATATTCTTTAGGCTATTAAGCCCACTGATTCCTTTATTTTTAAGCCTATTTTGTGTGGAATGCCAT